GAAAGCACTTTGATGAGACTTCTCTGAAGGTGGTCTAGTCAGCATCCATAACACTCATTGTAACTAGTCATAGAAAGCCTAATGTCTGTGTTTGTGAATCCAGGATTTATACAAATTACTCTATGCCTCTTGTTCCTCATTATCTTTCAGTGTTAGGAAAATGATGAATAAAAATTAGGCTGGGCATTGGTGGCACACGCCTTTAATCCCAGTACTAGGGAGGCAGAGGCAGGAGGATCTCTGTGAGTTCCAGGCCAGCCTGGTCTCCAGAGCGAGTGCCAGGACAGCCTCCAAAGCTCCACAGAGAAACCCTGTCTTGACAAAACAAAAAATTACGATAATTATAATGCTTCAGTTTGAATCATGAATTAATGAACATTATAGATGCTGTCGATGTAATCATTTTCAGGGAGATTTGTACTTACTATGTTAGAAAAGTAGGGTTTTGTAATGCATGCTTACACCATAAAATGGAAATGAATAACAAACAGATCTTTGAAAATACATGCAAGTAAAAGACATCAGTTATAAACAGATTTTTTTCCTGGAAGAAGGAGGAGACAAGATCTTTGATTTTCTTTTTCTGCAGCTAATAAGACATCTTTGGAGACTGGACTATCACAGACCAATTTGTCTAATTGTGAGCTCTGTGCATTGAGACTTCAACCATATATATTATTCACTATGTAGGTTGCATTATAACCCTTCTTTTCTGTGTCAAAAATAGTTCTTCCCATTGTATCATTCTGTCACTTTATACGTCTCACTAAGTTCACTATCTGATATTTTATTTACTTCAATACTTAAGTCTAAGTTTGATTCAATCTTATTTGGGCACCTTGCAAGGAAGTGGCAAGATTTGTATCTCATGGCCATGGCTCAACAGAGAAACAACGTAACTAAGTAAGTGCTGAAAAATCCCATGAAGGTTGCAGGGTTATTGGAAAAATTATTTGTTATCATGAAATTAAACAACTGTTTGAGAAGTAGGGTGAGAGAAAACAAATATGAAAAATACTAGCCATGGGGACTGTGAATCTTATGGATTTTTATTTCTGCCATTATACTCAAAAGTAGGTTTCTTCTTTTTACTCACACTAGGTAGACTTTGCATTGGTGTCTCTTGCATAGCTGTAGAGTATGTATCTCATTGACAATTTCTTAAATATTCCAGAAAGATTATTGTGATTTAAGAGAGCAGGATGACAACAATGCTACTGATCAAAGCATTTTGAAAGTTTTGAGAAATCTTGAGACACTGGGCAAATTATGTTGTATATTTCTGTCTTTTCTATGGTTATAAATGCGCACAGATTTTTTTTTAAATTTTTTTTATTTTTTTATTTTTCTCTCTTTTTATTATTATTAATTCAAGTTAGGGAACAGGCTTGTACCCAGGCAGGGTAGGGCCCCCAACCAGGGCTCCACCAAGTCCACCAAATCTTCCTGGCGCACAGAATTTTTATGTCATGGAAAATGAACGAGCATGTTTTTACCAAGTAAGTTGTTTTGGAAACAATTGAGGCCACACTACAATGTTCTATCTCTTAATAAATACAAGCTCATTAAACCAAGGGATTATTGACAGTTGTATCCATGGCCATTCAACTTGACATGTCTGTTTCTTGTTGCTTGAGCAAGAGATCTCTTTCTCACGGTTCCCTTTGTTTCCTGGGGTCCTGGCAGAATTCATAATAGTTGATGTATAACAATATCTGTATCTCTTTTTCTCATTAACGATAGTTTATTATATCACAGGAGAGCTAGCAAGAAAGAAATAGAAGAGCAGAGCAAGACAGAGAGTAAGAAAGAAGAGAGACAGAGTTAATGGCTGACTGCCATGGTCAGTCGCCAGAGAAAGTTAGCTGTGTCTCTTGTAGGAAGTATAGCCAGGCATCACAGGGTCATAACTCAGCAGGACCACTCTTCTCATAATTGTAACATAGATCTTCACCTTTTCATGTTCTTTTTCATCTTTTTAAGAATCTTACTAAGTTTCTAAAAGAGAAAAAGACAGATCTGCTTTTCCTTTCTTAGCAGAAATCCTAAAAGTACTAAAAATATGAAGATAATCCATATTTAAAATGCAGAAATTCTGCTTAAAGCTGCCTGTTACCTCCAAAATGATAGTTTAGAAAATATATGCAGAGTCTAACAATTTAGTCTAAATTGCATGGGGTATAATTATTAATTTTATGGAAATGGGAAGCTGTTGTTACTTCTGAGAGTGCTATTGTTCTATGAAAAGATGACTTTTACATACTTGACTGAAGCAAAATGAATCAGGTAACCAATTGACAATGAAGATGTAATGCATTAATAAAATTAGTAAAATAAAGCATACATTTTGGACTACTGGTACGAAGTTGACAGCCTGAGTTCAAACCCCAGAATCCGTGTACAGATGTAAGGAAAAAAAATCGAACACACAACTTTTCTGATCTCCACATGCATGCCATGGCATGTGGACTTCCCACAGAAACACACAATAGCAACAAAAAGCAACAACAATAAAAAAGAATATATTCTAAAGTGCATATCCTAATTAGCAGTGTTGATAGAGTTAATTTTCATTCTAAACTAGTAAAATATTGTGGAAATTTACCTTTATTATTTCATTTCTTGTTGCAATATTCTTTTGGGAGGAGAGGTTTTCAAGACAGTGTTTACCAGTAGCTGTGGAGTCAGTCCTGGAACTCACTCTGTAGACCAGGATGGCATCAAACTTGCAGAGATCTTCGAACTACCACTGCCTGGTGGAATATTATTTTTCTATGTGTACACAAATACTATGTATTTGAAGTGTAATTCCTTATTTGCTTTTATGTCTGGGAAAGGATAAAGGACAAAAGATCCCTTAAGGCTACTATTTATTTTTAATATAATATTTTTATTGAGACTTCCATATATCCTTGACTCCTCTGCATAACCCTTTCCATGTCTATCACTCAGCCCCACCCATTCCCAATCTGTATCCATTACCTTAGCTCACTGATTCCAATTTCTTCTGTCCACAAACTTGTTTGTGTGGGGCCATGCACTGAGCATATTCTACCCTCAATTTTCATACCCAATGGATATAATGTGTTTTCTTGATAGCTTTTGACAAGGCTCAGATTTTTAAATTCAGAAAGCCTTCTGAGACATTGATTTTGAAACCTATGTTAGAATGTAAACCTTCATATACTTCCCGCACAGATACTCTTTGGGTCTGAATGCAGGGTACGTGGGTAATCTGAGATGCACACAGATATGTATTTCCATGTTAGAATTGTAGCAACTAGTCCCCACAAATTACAAGAATTTTGAAAGTTTTCTTTTAATAACTTTGAGATTGGCATACATTTTCCCATTTCAAAGATAAAAAATTAAATTCTTTCATATTTATATTGTCCCCTTATGTGTTTTATCCAAATAACAACAGTGTGAGAAGGCAAAACATTAAAACTCAATTGTATTCACCTAATCAAATTAGAAAAATTCTACACCATGGACCAGGAAGAATAGGTGTAATGTCATTATTTATTCATATGAGTGCAATTAGGATGGAAACTTAGATTTTATGCAGAAGTCAACAACCACAGGTGAAAATGTTTGTATGTAGAATACCAAATAAAAAATAGTAGAGTCCTACAGAAAAAATAATAAAAGACAAAATGCTGTATACATCAGATGCTTAACTATGATTTTGTAATTTAATAAATGATACTGTATAATGAAAGTGGAATTTGCAAATATTTCCCATCAATTTTCTTTCTTCTTTTCCTACCTGTCCCTTGCCAGCCAGCATCTGTTGTTCCTTCCTTCCTTTTACAATGTATCTAACTTTCTTTCTGACCTAACAATAAATTCCTGGTCCTTCACACTAGAAAAGCTTACTGCTAGAGATCTCAATTTCATATACATGAATTGTTTAATAATTGAAAAGCATAACTTTTTTTCTGTCTGTGATATTCTATGAATATGTACATTTGACAAAATAATATGTCAATCGTGCAGGATCTTTACTGTGATATGTATGTTATGCTCACGCAAACACAAACATGCATAAAGTCACTCATTAAGCACACAAATAGATAATGATGTATTCAGAGATGGAGATTTATGATTTGCATCACACCTGTTTTTCACATGGGTTATATAACATTACTCCTGTCTCATAAGTCATATCATTATAAACTTATTTTAGAGATAACAATTAATATATTTTACTCATATCTGTAAAGACTGCAAATCAGAAAGTGAAAGATGAAACACCTAGATAATATCTGGTTATTATATAATAATTATTATATCATATTATATAATTATTATATAATATTTGAGTTATAATATCAACTCTAACACAGTATTTATTCCTAGAACTGTCAGGAAAATTTGCAACATTCTGTTAAGTTAAACAAACACGTTTCACTCCTTTTTGTTGTATTTCTCTTTTTCTTTCTTCTTTTTTTTCATGAGCAATACAGTAACACACAATAAAAAAAGCAGATAGCTTTTATTATAACACTAGCATACAAATGATGATTTGTGGACTTCAGAATACTTAATTTCTGAATACTTAAAGTCTAGGTAGACAAGTATTCTGGAACATTGTTCATTTACTTTTGTTTATTCTTTTAAAAATTCATATACTTACATGATGTTTTCTAATCATATCAACTCCTAGCCTTCTGGAATTTCCACCAGTACTCAAACAACACATCTCTCCCCAAACATCATGTCTCTTTTAAAACATAGCCCTCAAAATCTAATTTGTGGTTCCTACCAAAACATCAGTGTGGGTACATCAACACTTCTCAAAACTCAGAACTAGGGAGTCTGATAAGGAATTCTTTTGTACTTTAAGGTTAACCTCATTACATACAAATTTTCTTTCTAAACCCCAAACAAAACAAGAGAAAAATAAACACAATGTGATTACTGATGTTGATTACTGAATTCAAAGAAACATTTGTTTCATTTTTCTGATATATAAATATTCCCTTTTGACAAGGTGTCCAAGGAATATAGATGCACCAAATTTCACATACATCTCAGAATTCTCTCTCATGGGACTCACAGATGATCCTGAACTGGAACCTGTTCTCTTTGGACTGTTTTTGTTCATGTATTTGGTTGCGGTGCTTGGGAACCTGATCATCGTCCTGGCTGTCAGCAATGACCCTAACCTACACACACCCATGTACTTCTTTCTCTGAAACCTGTCCTTGGCTGACATAGGCTTTATTTCCAGCACAGTCCCAAAGATGATTGTGAACCTTCAGACGCACAGAAGAAGCATATCCTACGTGTCCTGCCTGACACAGATGTCTGTCTTTGCCATTTTTGGTTGTTTAGATGACATGCTTCTGACTGTGATGGCTTATGACAGGTTTATAGCCATCTGCCATCCCCTCCATTACCAAATCCTGATGAACCCCCGACTCTGTGTCTTGATGGTTTTGAGCTCATTTTTTGTTAGCTTGCTGGACTCCCAGCTGCACAATTTGATTATCATGCAACTCCCATACTTCAAGGATGTGGAAATTGCTAACTTCTTTTGTGATCCTTCTAAACTCCTTAATATGACCTGTTTTGACTCTTTCTTTAATGACATTGCTGTGTGTCTCACTGGTGCCATATTTGGATTTTTTCCCATCCTTGGGATCCTTTTCTCTTATTACAAAATTGTGTCATCCATTCTTAGAATCTCATCTTCTGGGGGGAAGTTTAAAGCTTTCTCCACCTGTGTGTCTCATCTGTCAGTAGTTTGCCTATTTTATGGAACAGCACTGGGAGTGTATCTTAGTTCAGCTGTGTCATCCTCTCACAGAAAGAATTTGATGGCAGAAGTAATGTACACCGTGGTTACACCCACGCTTAATCCATTCATCTACAGCCTTAGAAACAGGGATATTAAAGGTGCCTTGAGGAGGCTGCACTTAAGAACTCATTAATTTATTTTCTATTCCATATTTTCATATTGGGCATTTGAGAAATCCATTATGTATACCTCTAGATCTTGCTTTGTTTCTCACATTGTCTGCCTTGAAGAATTTCATTTCTCTCTAGGTTACATAACTGAATTCTGCTTCTTTAATATGTCTGTCCCCGTTGGATTTGATGTATATTTATGAATCCTATTTTCTTCAGTACTACCATGACTGAATTCAATGTACCTTGGTACTTGCTACTTTCTAAATAATTGCCTCTGTTGACTGAGATAACTGTTTATATTTAAACTTTACATCATATTTGAAAGTTTATTATTTTTATTAAAAATTGCAAATGGTATAGCTTTTAAAATACTTATTTTATTTATGTATGTGTCTCGTGATTACATATTACAGAGGCATCACTGGGGTGTCATAAGAAGGTCCCAGATCCTCTGTGGAGGCAGATTTGTGCTTCCTAATGTGCATGGTAGGAATTGAACTTGGATCCTCTGAGCAAGCTGCAAGTAGAATTAATGGTTGAGACATTTGAAAAGCTCCAAAACTACTTTTAAAAGAGATTATGAATCTGAAGTTTATCATTGATCCTCTAGTTTTAATTTCATTTGAATTCTCAGAGGAGCTTTATGAATATTGATAGATGAATATCATAGCAGTGTCTGACTTACATAAACCTGAGTGAGAAATAAAACAAACCAAACCAAACCAAACAAAAAAAGCAAAACAAAAAACAAACCATAGACATAATTCAGTGTCTGTTCTAAAATTTTTATCCTCAAGTTAATTATGAACCAATCTATTATAACAGGAATTGGACTTCTTCTTGCAACTTGCCTTAAAATAAACTCCCTTCGGAAAAAAGTTTGCATCTTTTTTCAAGTTGCATGTTTTTTGTTTCCAATTTAACTCCTCTGCATCTTTTGATGCACAGTCAGGGCATATCAAATCACTTCTTCATTTTCCAGTTTGTTTTGTCACTTACTGACACTTCTTGCCACTAAATTCTATCATCGTTAAAATTAAGTGTAGTTAAGGGCTGGAGAGATGACTCAGTGCTTAATAACACTTGCTGTTCTTGCAGAGGATTGGGGTTCAATTAACAACACTCACATGGTGGCTCAAAACTATCAATAACTCCTGTTGCTGAGGATCGGGCATCTCCTTCCTGCCTCTGAATGTACTGCGTGTGCATGGCATATATGCATACACACAGGTAGAACACAAGCATACTTTATATATTTTGACAACATCTGTCTGCATTAAACCTTTAAAAACAGTCTGTTTTGATAACACCTTCATAATGTGAATGCCAGAGTGTTTTGGGGACTCTTCTGTATTATATCTGTGACTAAAATTTTCCTTTCTTTTTCTACTATGAAGCAGTCACGATATATCCTGACTTCAATTCTGCTTTTGAAAATACATAGATTTCATTATATACCTTGAGAATATTGGGTATGAATTATAGTATCATTAGAAAGATGAATATATTTTGATTTTTGCTAAATCAATGAATCTTGTTGTAAAAAATGTGTCTCTATTTAGTGTCTAAATGATGTTTCAGTGATGATATTTTGTCTCAAGTGTAATAAGACAGAACAGAATTATCTCTATCACACTCTGTAATTTCTTATCTTGCACAAATTCTCTCCATCTTGAGTATCTGCTTCACTGTAATCCTTTTTTGTTAGTTATTTAATAGAGCATGTGTTGAAAAACTAATGCCAAATAAACTCATTTTGTAAATACACTATCTGCCTTTAGTGTTTGTTTATAGAAGTGAATAATGAACCATTAGAATATGGGCATTAGTTCCCTCTCTCAACCAATGATAACAAAAGCGAACACTCCATAACAATTCTGCACTTCCATTCTTTTTTGGGCTGCTTGACATGATTGTATTCTTTCATGGGAAATATGGTTTACTTTCCAAAATCTTTGAGACAATCAGATTCACCATACAGAGAGATATGGGTGGTAAGCTTAAAGCCAGCCTGTTTTATGTCTCAAAAAGTTACCATTGCTCCCATAGTACACTCTGACAAAACAGGGCAAGAATCAATGCATTATATTCTGAGACACAGTCGGAAAACATACATTTAACTGAATGGGGAAACATTTGAAGTCAATCTTTGCTGCATACTTTGTACAGAAATATATTCTGAGTCATAAACTTTAGTGAGCATCATTGAAGCCTGAAAGAGGAAAGATCTACTGAAATTTCTAAAAACTACTACTCTCCCAGACTGACAGCTGGGGAACCTGCATAAGACTAAACCAGGTCCCCTGAGCGTCTGTATCAGTTGGGGTACTTGGGCAGTCTATGGGGCTGCTGGCAGTGGAACTAGTATTTATCTCTAGTGCATGAACTGTCTTTTTGGAGCCCATTCCCTATGGAGGGATACTCGCAGCCTAGATACAGGAGTGAGGCCCTCATTCCTTCCCCAAAAGAACACAACAATAGCCAGGGCAACATGTCACCACCAGAGCCCAGGTATCCTACTACAGCAAGCCCCGGATATTCCAACACATGAAGAATAAGAAAAAGATCTTACAACCAATGTTATTAAGATTATAGAGGTAGTTAAAGAAGAAATAAATAAATTCCTTTAAAAATTGAGAAAAATGCAAACAAAAATTGGAGGAAATGGGTAAAACCCTTTAAGAACACCAAGAAAAAACATGCAGTTGAAAGAAGAAATAAAACTGTTCAAGATCTGAAAATGGAAATAGAAGCAATAAAAAATCACAAACTAAGGGACTCTCTGGAGATGTAAAGTATATATAAGTGAACAGGAACTACAGCTACAAGCATCACCTACACAATACAAGAGATAGAAGAGAGAATCTCAGGTATGGAAGATATGATAGAAGAAACATATATACCAATCAAAGAAAATGTTAAATCTAAAAAATTCCTGACACAAAACATCCAGAAAATTTGGGACACGATGAATTTGGTCAAACCTAAGAACGATGGGAATAGGAAAAGGAGAAAAATTCCAGCTTAAAAGCCTAGAAAGTATCTTGGGATGAGAATTAGGACTTTGTACTCACAGAGAAGCACTAAGAGGACCAAAAATGTTAATAAAGCAGGGGTATCTCAAAAAATGGAGGAGATAAAGGTCAAACACTTGCATTCCATCCAGAAAGATGAGAGTGGATTTTGTCAATGACCTGCTGAATTTTTTCACTATCTGTGGAGGCAGATTGTAATTACCCACCTTTTGATAAAGAGGCAGCAGTCACCCAATTTCCCTGGAAGGATTATTTCAGACTATTTCCTCCCTAGATCATTACCTGTCTTTAGAGTTGATGTCATACCTACTTTTAGCCTGCTGTAGTCTCTTGGTCAGAGACCATTCTTTTAACTGGAGAACCCAACCTAATGGGAATATGTACTTTGTACTTGGACCATATTGTACACCTGTAATTGAACTGATTATTGTCTGGCAACTTTACCCCAAACTGTACTGTGTTTTAAATATACTGGCAATGAAACAGCTGGCATTAGGCTCCCCAAAGTCTGATCCAGCATGAAGTCAATCGGCACCAGGTTGACATTCTCACTTCTTTGTGAAATATGCTTCACTGTCTGATATCTTCAGGAATCACTTCAACATATTCAAAACAATAATTGAAGAAAAATTTCCTAACCTGACCACATAATAATAAAAACACTAAACATACTAAGCAAAGGAAGAATGTTAAAAGCTGCAAGGGAAAAAGAGCAAGTAGCACAAACCAAGAACTATTACAATTGCACTAAACTTCTCAGTGGGGACTCTAAAAGCCAGAAGGGTGGTAAGGGACGTCCTTCTGTATGTATGTTTCTCTTATTGGTTGATGAATAAAACACTGATTGGCCAGTATCCAGGCAGGAAGTATAGGTGGGGCTACCAGACAAGGAGAATGCTGAGGAGAGGAAGGAAAGAGAAGCCACCAGAGAGAGAGAGAGAGAGAGAGAGAGAGAGAGAGAGAGAGAGCCCATGTAGCTGTTGGGAAGATAGGACAGGGGATGTTCTCCAATAAGATAAGACCATGTAGAAAGACAAAGATTAGTAGTTACGAGTTAATATTTAAGAGAGAGAGCTAGCCAGTAAGAAGACTGAACCATTGCCCAAACAGTTTCTAATTAATATAAGTCTCTGTGTGTTTATGTGGGGCTAAACAGCTGCCGGACCAGGTAGAACAAAAACTTCTGATTATAAAATGGCAACCAATGTGGGGTGAGAATTGCCACATAAAACTTGATAAAGACAGATTCAGAGAAAAAACTCTAAATGGTTTACAGTATGGGAGAGAAAAGAATAAGGATAAAGTCTTTTTAAAAGAAATAGAATAGCTGGCTGTGGTGGTACATGCCTTTAATCCCAGCACTTGGGAGGCAGAGGCAGGAAGATCTCTGTGATTTCAAGGCCAGCCTGGTTTCAGAGTAAATTCTAGGGCAGTCAAAGTTACACAGAGAAGCCCTGTCTCAAAAAAACTAAAAAATAAAAGCAAAGAAACGGAGTAATAAAAATGTCAGGTAAAGATGGAAAATACACAGAGATTTTGAATACCGTATGTTATTGTGTTGTCTTTGAATTGTTTGACTGCTGGGGAAAGAGCAACAACTGCCAAAAGACATTTGATTATAAATGCTGATGGATTGATCCAACATACATATTTTGAAAATGCTTTGCCTTCAAAATTTAAGTCTAAGAACATTTTACTTTGAAAAAGAGGTTCTGCCATTTGCCCAAGTTAAATCAAGATTAGACCAACAAGTAATTCCATAACCCCTAAAGAAATAGGAAGCAGTTATTAAAGTCTCACATAACAACAAAAATGGCCAGTCCAGATGATTTTAGCACAGAGTTATACCAGACTTTCAAAGAGTAGTTAATGCAAATCCTTGGCAAAATAAAACCACACATAATGGAAAGAAGTAACATTGTCACATTTATTTTATGAGGCCACAGTTACTCTGATATACAAAGCATAAAGGGCTCAACAAAGAA